ACTTTCTTCTAAAGGAACCAGAGTTGATTTCAAACTTTCTTCTAAAGGAACCAGAGTTGATTTCAAACTTTCTTCTAAAGGAACCAGAGTTGATTTCAGACTTTCATCTAAAGGAACCAGAGTTGATTTCAGACTTTCTTCTAAAGGAACCAGAGTTGATTTCAGACTTTCTTCTAAAGGAACCAGAGTTGATTTCAGACACAATAAAAAGTTCTTTTTAGATGCTGAGCAGCCACACGAAGCTGCCATGACGGAAAGTTCAGAAAAAGATGGATTTTTGCATAAAGATTGGCAGAAAAGTTGACCAATTGTCACTGCTCGGTTAATACTGAGTGATCACCGACACCGGTACCGGTACACCAACACACATCACGTCTAATTTACCTATCAACATGTCGGTGTCTACTCCTCAAGCCGAACCGGGCTGGTGCCGACCGAACGACCGCAGATTCACAGAAACTTGAAGCCGGTCCAATCGGAGGGGTTCCGAAGGTCCACCGAACCTCAACCCACTCTGTCAGGTAAAGGCTCGCTTCTTAGCTTCGTTTACTCGGCGGTTCTTCAGCGGGTTCTGACCCAGTTTATCTGTGACCAGCTCCTCACCACTTCCTGGACAGGACCCGAGCAGTTATTCTGGGTTTATTACACGTGCAGTCTCGGTTCTGCCCATCTCAACAGCTGTTCCATTTGACATCCGACACCCGGTTTTGTGCGCATGCGCACTGACGTACCAAGTTGAAGGAGCAGGGGCGGATGTAGAAGTGAATGTGAAGAGGGGGGGGGGGGGGGGGTGTCATTGACGTCCAGAAACCTTGAAGTGTTTTTTTTTTTTAGTTACTGCTTCTCATGCTCAAAGTTAGTATTGTATGTGGCTGTTTTCAGGTGGCCTCTTTCAGAAGATGCACCGATCCAGTTTCTTAAGTGTCAATGAGAAGAAGTCTGAAGTCATGTTGTTTCCTCCCAATGACACAATCATCAACCACTGCATCGACCTTTCCGCTCTAGCCCCGTTAGAGAAACAGAGTCACTAATCTGGGAGTGATAATGGATCCTTCCATGAAACTTAACAATCAATCCTGTTTTTTCCAGCTGAGGCGACTTTCTAAGCTGAAGCCCATATTATCCAAAAAGAACCTGGAGACAGTATTACATACATTCATAACATCCAGGCTTGATTACTGCAATTCGCTCCTGTTTGGTATCAGTCAGACCTCCATTGCCAGATTACAACTGGTCCAGAATGCAGCAGCCTAATTTTTAACCATTATATGCAAAAGAGAGCACATTACACCAGTATATATATATATATATATATATATATATATATAT